GGGTTCGCAGGGGGGGCGGCCGGGCCCGTTCCGGCTGCCGGGTCCAGAGCCGCTGGATGTCCTCCGCCCGCCGCCTTGCCCCGGCCCTGCCCGCGCTCGCCAGCATGTCCTTCATCCCGGTGGCCGAGGACTCTGACTTCCCCATCCACAACCTGCCCTACGGCGTCTTCTCCACCAAAGGCAACGTGAGCTGCTGCGCTGCGGCTTCGGGCGGGGAGTGGGGGGCGGGATGGAGGCGTGGGCCATTTTTCTCGAAAAGCAGCTCCTGGGCAGTCCGTGTGTGTTCGAATCCCGCCGGTAACTTTCTAGGTGCGCACGGTGTTGAACCTCTGGGCCGCAGCGTCGCCGCGCAGGCTTGTGTGAGCAGTGCGTGCGAGGTGAATGGAACGTGGAACTCCCTGCAGACGGGCCGAGCAAGGACGGCCGGCTGCCACCGGCAAGCCGAGGCGCGGTCACGCCACCTGATGGTGTGCTTCCTTCCCCCAGGTTACAGCTGGCCCTTCATCCCGCTGGTTAGCCCCTAACACTAGAACCCGGAAAATAGTAACCCTGATATTTTTAGTAGCCCAGAGGGACGCACGCATTTCCTGGAGGAGAACTGTGACATCTAAGATGGCAAGTTTCTTTGCCTCCAGCTGGAATTCTTTCTGTTCGTGGTGTGGGCACCCTGGCATTCCCCTGCTGAGCAGGAGAAGCCATTTGGGGCAGAGAAATGAACTTTAACTTAGTAAGTGTCGTCTAGCAGAAAGAAATCTTTGAAAAACGGGGGTTTATCAGCAAATATATAAGAAGGTCCTTGGATGGAAAAAGTAGATTCCCTTGGATTTCTTTATGGTGTTTTTTGCTTAGATTTCTGTTCCCGGCTTTAAAGGTGAACTCCTGATTCAGCTCTGTAAATCGTAGAACCCCAGAATCTACTTGCCTAACTATTCAGGAAATGTTTGATAAGTGGGGAACCTGGTAACTGGCCCCTTCCTGGATAGTGGGGTCCGTTCCCCCATTGCTGGTCATTGGCCTCATGTGGCTGGTCTTTTGTGGGCCTGCCTGCAGTGAATGCCTTGGTCTAGAAAAGTCTGCTTGTGGTTTCACAATCGGCAGGCGTCACCAGATGTTGCAAGGACACAAAAAGTTAACACTCAGTCCCTGGAGGACACACACAGGAGGCATGTTAAACCTTAACCTGTGTTGGCCAACCACCCTGTGCTGGCAGGACCCTCCTCTGCCCTCCTCTCACACTTGGCCCTCAGCAGGTGTGTCCTCACCTTTCCTGGGAGCACACATCGATCAGGCAGAGACATTTGTGAGAGGCAGGCACACCACGGTAGGGTGCTCTGACTTGCTTTCCCAGGGGAACCTAGAATTAATGCCCTGTAGAGTGTGGCTAGTGGCCTTTAGACACCAAGCCCTGCTGTTTCACTATTAAAATGTGCAGGCCAGACACTAGAGACGTCTAGGAGAGAGAACCCCTTCTCACTGCCCTTTAAAAAGAGTGCTGGGGGTGAGAGTTGGCCTCTTTGGCATCCCGGAAGGCTCAGGGCCTTCAGGCTGAACAGGCCTCATCTGAAGCTGTCGCTGCAGGCACTGGACACTCCAAAGGTGGTGGCTGCCTCTCCAAGCTGGTCGAGTTGTCAAAGCAAAGCCTGCCTTCCCCCATGTTAGCAGCAGCCAGCCCTTCATAATCTGTGTGGAACAACAGTGAAATAATCCAATCATCACTTTATTCATTCTTTTATCCAGCAAATGTGTATGAATCCATCTCTGGGCCAGACCCTGGGCTGGGAGCTGGGGATCAAAGACACAGGAGACACCTTTTCTCCCTCCATCTTTGGTTGCCCACAGGCTGGTAGAGCGGCTAATGGTGCTCTCTGTAAAGGCAGGGTGGCAGCCTCTGAGAAACGGGACTGCGGTAGTCTGCAGCTGACTTTCGCAGTGCCTTATTAAAGTCCCCGTGGTCTGGCCCTGCCTCTTGGCCTCTGCTCTCTCCAGCTGCACTGGCTGCCTTTCAGTCTCCCAGACATGCCGAGAGCAGTTTCCTGCCTCGGGGCCTTTGCACATGTTGTTCCTTCTGTCTGGAATATTCTCCTTTCTGCTCTCTACATGCCTAGTTTCTTCTCATTCTTTAGGACTCAGCTTAAATGTTCCCTCTTCAGAGAGGCGTCCCCTAAGTACCCTTTCTGAGTGAGCTCCCCCCTGCACCCCAGCCGTGATTATTATCTTTCACCTTACCCTGTTTTGCCTTTTGCTTCTGGAGGGCAGGAACCAAGTTGCCCCTCCCTGTCCCCATTGCCTTAGCAGAATGAACGCATATTTGTTCTCTTACAATTAGATGGGTGGAATATCTCTCCCTCAAGTTGCAGGTGGGAGCTGAGGCCCAGAGAGGATCAGGGACTGTCCGAGGTGATAGGGTGGTGAGTGGTGGAGCAGGCCAGGAGCCCAGGGGTCCTGGATCCCACCTGGGTGCCACTTCTAGTCGAGCGCTGAAGAAATAACTCCCAAGGTTAAAAGCGGAGGGGCTTTTGCTCTCAGACTGTTTTTCTGGGTCCTGGGGTCACAGTTTGGAGCACAAGGGCAGTAACTGACCACTAGGCTTTGTTTACAGCCGAGGAAGCTGACAGCCAGACTGTGACTAGATCTTGGAGGTTGCTCCATGGTGGTGGCTCCTTCTTGCCTTCAGCTGGGTGTGGGGGCCAGGATCAGAGATATGGCCTAAGGGTCTGCCCTGCATGTCCCCTGAGTGGACGGCCACTTGGGTTCAGATGGTTCAACTCTTTGCCTAACGCAGCAGATTTGCCATTTGCCAGAGGGGGAGACCGAGGCCCAGGGAGTTAGCAGTGGAGCTGGGAATGAATAGCCAGGCTGTCCAGGCAGCCTCATCCAGGTGAGGGTGTAGCTCTGGTCTACCCTGATCTCAAGAGCTGACACGCATGGATGCTCCCTGGAACTGAAATGGCAAAACTGGGTTCAGGAGAGCTGGATGCCTGGCTTAGAACAGAGTCCCAGGAGGTGGAGTCTGCAAACATGCTGTCTGGTTCCTTGCTGACTAGCAAAGCTCAGGGTTGTGGGGACAAAGACCAGGCTTTGTCAAATATTTGAGACATCTCACCAGTCAGAGCTGATGCTGGGGTGTCATGCGCAGAAAGGAACCTCGCCTGCACGTGCTGAGCAGTCTGGCTTCCCACAGCTCCCCTACAACCTGAGCACTCCTCCATTTGAGCCACAACAGAGCTCATTCGCCCCAGCCGCCTGGCCCTCTGCACTATGTCGGGGGCCCTTGCTGCTCTGCTGCACAGATGAATTGCTTTGAGCAAAGGCCTAGGTTAAACCTGAAAAATAATCCAGCTGCCTGGATTAAGGTAAGGTGGTGAGCTCCTCATCACAGGAGGCATTCAAACAGTGCATGAGGAACTTTGCAGGGGACTTCACTTGGATAAAGGGCTTGGACCAGGCTGCCTGCCCTTCCCCCACTCCAGGGGGTAGTTGATTTAGTTTCCATTCTGGGAACACAGATTCTTTTTCCTTCTTGTCCTGGAAGCAGAGATGGCACCAGAAGCTGGGATAGGATGCTGAGGATCCAGTTCCTCAGTCCCCTCTCCATAGAGGGCCATCTAAAACGGGACCCAAATAGAGAGGCTTTTCTAGTAAATGAGCCAAGCACAGCCAGAGACATTTCCCAGTGCTGATCTTGCTGTCTTCTTCCAGCCAAGACCGAGGATTGGTGTGGCCATTGGCGACCAGATCCTGGACCTCAGTATCATTAAGCACCTTTTCACTGGGCCTGTCCTCTCCAAACACCAGGATGTCTTTGATCAGGTAGGACATCATGACATGACTTGTCCTATTCTCAGCAACACTTATTGCAAATGCCACCAAGAAAATGCTCTTTGCGCTCCATTTCCAACAGAGGTGGTGCCTTCAGGGGCCTCAGACGTTTGACATGGATAAGGCTGGGACTGTTCAGAGACAGACAAACTGGCAGGAGGTGGCCTTGGGACCCCCCAGTGTGGCCTCTCACCTTAGGCTGGGTTCCTAGGTGAAAAGGGTGTGAGCATCTCTGTGGTCCTGGGTCTTCTGCAGGTGTCTCTGAGATGAGGCTCTTCTGTAACTCTGGTTACTTTCCTCATCAAGCTGTTTGAGCCTCTGCCTGTTCAAGGCCTATAGGGACCCTGAGGGGAGGAAGCCATGAGCCCTGCCCTCCAGGGAGCCCTGCCTCCCAGACATAGCCTGGGAGGCATCAGCCTGAAGGACATGTACATGTGGGATGCGCATGAATGTGCTTCACTGTGAGTGGTCAGCTACTTTGTTTGCATCTGCCCATTGCATGAGTCAGGAAGGAGAGTGGTATTTACTGAGCACCTCTTGGGTGCCAGGAGTTTTACACGCATCCTCTCCTACAGTCCTCCCACCACCCTCTGGCATAGGAGTTGGAATTGTCACTAGATGTTTTGCATCTGCCCATTGCATGAGTCAGGAAGGAGAGTGGTATTTACTGAGCACCTCTTGGGTGCCAGGAGTTTTACACACATCCTCTCCTACAGTCCTCCCACCACCCTCTGGCATAGGAGTTGGAATTGTCACTAGATGTGAGATGCATTTGACTTTAGTGGGTGGACATCCTCCCTGGGATTCAGCCTAGACCAGGCCCCAGTCCAGCCTGGAGGTGCCCACTGGAGAGTGTGAGCAGGATGCTGGGATGTCAGGGCTGAGCCTGTGGGTGTTTGGAGACCTGAGCTTCTGGAATGAGACACGATTCCCCCAGGTCCCATGGCTGGAAGCTTTAGAGCGGAGGCTGGAACTCTGACCCATAGAACCCACAATTGCCTTTTCTGCCATGCTTTGCTGGCCAAGAACCTCTTCACTTATGGGAAGGGATTGGTTTAGGTGCATCAGCCCTGCAGACTGGAGTGTACCTTCACTGGAGGAATGCAGCCAGCTCCGACTACAGGCCAGGCCAAGCCTAATGGGGTAACTGTCCCAGAGAGCAGCTCCTGGGCTGGGACAATTGTGTACAAGTCTAGGAGGGCATGAAAAAACATCAGGAAAGGTGACGCCTTTCTCCAGCTTGGAGACAAAACCAGGAGGGAAGGTCCTGAGAGTTTGAGTGAACGGGAGAGATGTGGCAGGGGCTGCTGCAGCCAGCCAACCCCCATTGGCCTCCCATGGGCAGGAGGGGTACCCCCAGGGCTTTCCCATGTGTGACCTTCTTTCTCCGGTGTTGGTCCTAGCCAACTCTAAACAGCTTCATGGGCCTGGGTCAGGCTGCCTGGAAGGAGGCAAGAGCGTTCTTGCAGAACCTGCTATCTGCCAGCCAAGCCAGGCTCAGAGATGACATGGAGCTTCAGAAGTGGTGAGGAACACGGGACTTTGGTGGGAAGAGGGGACATGGCAGGGAGGTGAGGACTGTGTGGTAGTCAGTGCCATTGTGAGTTACACATGGCTGCCTTGCGCCAAGTTGAGTCAGACCGGCCTCCGTCCAGCTCCTGCCTGGCCTGTGTACTGGTGGGAGGGTTCTGGGTAGACTGGGATTACCTGGGTGCCTGGACTGGATCTGCCCAGGTCAGGCCCTGCCCATTGGTCCACCCCCTTACTCTGCTATTCCCTATCAGCACCATCTGCTCCCTCGGCTGGCCTTTAGGGTAGGAATTCCTACTACAGACGGATGTAGGAACAGAGAAGATGCATTTGACTTTAGTGGGTGGACATCCTCCCTGGGATTCAGCCTAGACCAGGCCCCAGTCCAGCTTGGAGGTGCCCACTGGAGAGTGTGAGCAGGATGCTGGGATGTCAGGGCTGAGCCTGTGGGTGGATGAGCAGAGCAGGGACCCTGCTTCACTGTTTGCTTGACCTTGAAGCCCCTGGTTCTTTGTTTCAGTGCATTCACCTCCCAGGCTTCTGCCACGATGCACCTTCCAGCTACCATAGGTGAGTGTAGTCTCTTTACTAAGACAAGGACAGAGCAGCTTAGTGGGTCACAAGGGCTGGCCAGGTGTCTTGGTCCCTGTGTCCTGGTGGTGGAGGAAATGGAGGAGGGGCTCTGGGACAGCTACCCCCTCCCCATCACTGACTGTTTTCATGACCTCAGGCTGTGTCTCAAGGCCAGAGCGCTTGTTTAGAGTAGCTGCAGGCTGCTTGAGCAAGTGACTAGCTGCATGGCTCCCTTGCGCAGCAAATCGCCCTTTTTCCCCAGAGGACCGTGGGGCAAGGGCTCTGAGCCCAGCCCATGAGTCAGCAGTTTTGGGAAAAGAGGCCAGAGGGCTGTGAAGGGCCCTGCACTTGGCGGGGCGTCTGGTTGGAGTTTCAGTCAGGAAGCTGGAGTTGTTGCAACCCTCTTGGCCGGAAGCAGCGAGAGGTTGGATTAGCCTGTGGCCAAAGGCCTAACCCTCCACCCTTGTCCATCAGCCCCACCGGGAGGCCCTGGGCCCCTGTGTGCTGACAGGCTGGCCGACCCTGCTCCCGGCAGCTCTTCAGTCAGGCACAAGTGCTCTGCTGCTGGCTGCTTGGAAAAAGCGAGGCAGAGGGTGGGGTTGGGGACAGGGGTGAATCACCTGCACCCTCCCATATGCTGTTTTTGGCAAACAACATTTCCTTGTCATTTCAGGTTGACTGATGCTGATTCCTTATCATTTCTGGTTGACTGAGGGTGCCCTTTCTTGTTTTTTTGTTATGGATTTATTCTTTTGAAAAATATCTCAGCTGTTATTTCCATGCTTTGGGACTGAAGATGAGAAGCAGCGATTTAGGCTCAGTCCACCCCTTGCTCTAATCTGCTGCCCCCCCCCCCACTTTTGTTTCTCTTTTCATCCTTCTCTGCCATATCTTTAGTCCTGGTGTGCCCAGCTCTTTTTTCTTTTTTTTTTTTTGGGAGAGGAGATTTAGGAAGATAAATAGGCAACTGTCCCAACTGGTTTTTCCTGCAGATTTTTCTCCCTGAGATTTTTCTCCCGGGGTGGGAGAAATGCCTACAGCTTGCAAATCACCGTAAAAAACAGACGCTGCTTGAGCACCTGTGATGTGCAAGACCTTGTTCTTGGTACTGGGGGAGGAAAACAGGATGAGGCCTGGGCTGGGGCTGCCTGGAGGTGGCCGCAGTCTAGCAAAGAGATGCACACGCATGATCGGAATACCAGTGGGAACCGAAGTCTGCCCCAAGAAAGGTTGCAAAGGAGCAGGGAGAGATCCTGCGAAAGAGAGTGGGAGGGCTTCGCGCAGGAGGGGCCTCAAAGAGTTGCCAGGACTAGAACACACAGAGACAAGGGAGGAGTCAGGCCAGGTGGCAACACGGCGTAAGCAGAGGCATGGCAAGGGGAGCCCTGGGGACTCAGGAACAGTTGTGTGTGGTTAAGTGGGAGCCCGAGGCGGGCTGTGGCATCAGCCGCTTCATATTGAGATTACACTGTCTGTTTCAGAAGGTCTTGTCTCCTTATTTCTTTTTTGTTTCCCACTAGAGAAGTGGGGCTTTAGCGAGGCTGTTCTGTGTTGCATTTCATGCTATCTGTCGCTGCTGAAACAGGCGACGCAGGCTGAGCTTTGGGGTTGTGTGCCCATTCGCAGCCCCAGTCCTTGGAACTGTCCTTCTCTTCCCTGAGGCATCCAGGCTACTGACGGATTTCTCGGGACTTTCTTCTCCAGGAGACTACACGGACTTCTATTCCTCTCGGCAGCATGCCACTAACGTCGGAATCATGTTCAGGGGCCAGGAGAATGCGTTGATGCCTAATTGGTATGTCCTGGACCGGATGTTTGCACACGTTCCAAGTCAGTCCTTGCATTTCCAGTAGTGTGTTTGTCCCAGGAGCTGCCAAGCCCTTCTTGGGTTCAAATAAAGTGGGAAGTAAAACCAGTAATGACTGTGATGATGCAGCCTCTGGTCTTTTCAGCTTGGCTGTGGACCTGCTGAGGGATTGTGGGCAGGTCCCTTAAGTTCCTTCATCTAGAGAACAGGGGTTGGAATTAGATTTCCTAAATCACTGCGATCTTTCTGGATTCTTTCATTTGTAAGCCGTGTGTTACTGTTCTATTGGCAAGTCTTAAATCCTAGCATTCCCCATACTTAGCATTTTCTGATGAATGAGAATCCTCAAGTGTGCCCAGTGCCATATACTCCTCAAAAATGTGATCTGCTGTATTCATTTATTTGATCCTCATAGTAGTACTGTGAGGTCACTGAGGCCATAACTATAGCCCCATTTTACAGGAGGGAAAACAGGCCCAGAGAAGGATTGACTTGCCTGAGGGCAGACAGGCCAGAGCTGTCTCCTCAATCCCAGTTCTGGGCCACTGACACCCGGGCCATGAACTCGAGCCATGATCCTTGACCTTTGCTCTAGGTTGTCCTGTGGATGTGACAGTTATGCAGACCTGGAGAGGGCCTGGACTTGGTGGCAAGCATACCCCACCAGGTCCAGCTGCTGTCAGTCACGTGCAGGAGGTGGGGTAGGAGCAGGACCTTTACCCTCTTGAGTGAGTGTTTCAGACAGGCTGTGCCAGGAGGGGAATTAGAGCCAAGATGGAGAAGGAAGGAAGGGAGAAACGGCACGTTATAACCCCAAGAAGTTCAACAACGAGGCTGAGGTGACAAAACAAGGCTGGGGTGAATTTGGGACCAGAGCCCATTCTCAGGCTCCCACTCAAGATGGGTAAATATTATAGACTCTGGCCCTCTGCAGGTGCCAGGCTACAGGCTTTGTTTGTTCCCAGCCAACTGCAGCCTGTCTATTCTAATGTCCTTGGTGGTGATGATCCAATGGAATGTCCAGCCCCAAAGGAGCTGGCTGTCACCAGGGTACCAGGATCCCATTGGCCAGAGGGCAGGGACAGCGGGAAGTAAGAGGAGAGGCCGGGCAGGGAGATGGTTGTTAACTGTGTCTGAAACTGGGAGCGGAAGCCACAGCCACCCTGTCCCGTCTCCTTCTGCAGAATAAGAGTGATCAGGCCTTCTCTAGTGGTATTTGGTGCAAGGTGGCCTGCGGCTATGCCTTTCTTACTGTATCTATGTGTCCTTTATTATAAAGGTGATGTGTGTTTTTTCTGATTAACCCAAACACTACAGAAAATACGTAAAGTGTAAAACGTTTATAATTTAAAATATACATACCCTTTGACCTGCAATCTGACTCTCGTGCATCTATCCTACAGGAGTAAAAGCACCAAGGTGTTCATATTCAAGTAAGCAAGGATGTTTAATAATAGTGTTTCTAGTGGCCCAACGCCGGAAACAATCTGATGCTTATTGGTGGAGGAATAGTTGAAAAATTACCCTATTCACAATATGAAATGTTTTGTAGCTATTGAAAGATTTAGATCCAGAGAGATGTGCCTGACATATTTTAAGTGAAATAAGCAAACTATAGGGTATTATGTAAAGAGTATAAAAAGACAAAGAAAAAAATACACTTACATACACACTGTATTAGTTTCCTGTTGCTGCTGTAACATATTACTACAAACTGGGTGTTTAAAACAACACACGTATATTCTCTCATGGTTCTGGAGGCCAGAAGTCTAAGATCTGTGTGACTGGGCTCAAGTCAAGGTGTCACCAAGGCTGATTCCTTCAGGAGGCTCTAGGAGAGAATCTGTTTCCTGTGTCAGCTCTAGAGACCACCCACAGTCCTTGGCCTCTGACCCCCTTCCTCACATAACTCCAACCTCTCGCTTTCATCATCCTGTCTCCTATTTCTCTTATGACCTTTTTGCTTCTGTCTTATAAGGACCCATGTGATTGCATTTAGGGCTCACCCAAATAATCAGGGAAAATCTCCCCGTCTCTCAATATCGTTAACTCAATCACATCTGCAAAATCACTTTTGCCATATAAGGTACCATCACAGATTCCAGGGATTAGGATCTGGATATCATTTGGGAGCCATTGTTCAGCTTACCATACACATAGATACACACACATGTGCACACACATACACGTATTTGTGTAGGCTGGTGTGGGCATAGAGAAAGACACAGAATAATAAACTTCAGACCAAAATTGCCTTCCTCAGGGGAGTGGCTGGATGGGGAGAGATTACTAACTTCTTTTTTTATCTGAATTGTTTGAATTATTAAATGCTATTTAATTGCATGCAATTGTATTTTATAACTTAATCCAATAAAGCAAGTAAAAAGGGAGGAAAGGGAACTCTTCCCCAGCCACTCACCAGAGGCAATTCCTTTGGACAGTAGTTGGATGCATGGCTTCCTGAACTTTTCTCCAGGTTACACATGTGTGCACAGACATGTGCATGGTTGCACACATGCACATGTACACATTCTATTTTTTCAGTTAATAATATGAGACCATGCTGAAATTTCCTTTTTTCACTTTAATTTATCATTAACATCTCTCCATGTAAATAAACTTTCTTCAGTCTTTTACAAAATTTTTTTTGAATGGGTAATTCAAGATATATACACAGTAACATACCATTTATATAAAAGATGCAAAAAATGCTACACGGTGATAAAACTGTTCAGCGATATAGGGGAATGAGGAACACCAAATTCCAGATGGTGGCTCTAGGGCGAGGGGATAGGAAAAGAGGGACGGAGAGGGAAAGGTCAGGGAGGATCCAGAGGGGGCCTTTAACTGGATTAGCAAAGTTTTATGTCTTTAGCTCATTGGTGGTGCACAGTTGTTTGTGTTATTATATCTTTTTGGATATCATAAATATTCCAAAATAAAATTTTAAACATTTTAAAAATTAAAAGCAACAACAAGAAAGAGTCAGTGTGGGGCCGGCCTGGTGGCGCACTGCTACAGTGCGCCGCTTGGGAGCGCGGTGGCACTCCTGCCGAGGGTTCGGATCCCACATACAGACCGGTTCCCGCTCACTGGCTGAGCGAGGTGCGGGCGCGACACCGAGGGTTGCGATCCCGTTGCCGGTCCCGGTCCGGTACGGGCGCGACACTGAGGGTTGCGATCCGTTGCCGGACACAAAAAAAGACAAAAAGGAAAAAAAAAAAAAGAGTCAGTGTGTAGTTTCCTTCTCCAGAGGCAAAACTGTTTTTGGTTTCTTATATATTGTTTCACAGATATTCTTACATTCTCTCTGCCGGTTTTCTGTGGAATCATTTCTCTCATTAATTTGAAAGAGTGTTTTTTTTGTTTTTGTTTTGTTTTGTTTTGTTTTTGGCAGCCAGCCTGTGTGATGATCTGAACCCTTGACCTTGGTGTTATAACACTGCACAGTACCAGCTGAGCTATCTGGCCAGCCTGAAAGAGTGCTTTATATATAATAGAAATTAGCCCTTTGTTGCAATTTATTACAAATATTTTCTTGCAATATGTTGTTTTTTTCTACTTCACTATTTTTCTTGATACAGAAGTTTTACATTTTTATAAAGTCAAATGTCATCATTTCTTTATGACATTTACTTTTGTGTTGTGTTTAGAAAGGCTCTCTCCACCCCAAGACTTTGAAAATATTTTTGTATTTTTTCTGAGTGCTGTAATATCCTTTCTTTGTATATTTAGATCTTCGATCCATCTGGGCTTTTCTTTTATATGTTGTATTAGTCCGTTTTGTGTTGCTGTAACAGAACTACCTGAGACTGGGTAATTTATAAAGAAAAGAGGTTTATTTGGCTCATGATTCTGGGACAGCTGCATCTGGCATGGGCCTCAGGCTGCTTCTACTCATGGTGGAAAGTGGCAGGGAGCCAGCGGGTACAAGCAGATCACATGGCGAGAGGAAGCAAGAGAGAGCGAGAGAAGGTGCCAGGGTCCTATAAACAACCAGCTCTCGCGGGAACTAATAGAGTGAGAACTCACTCATTACTCCCCCCTCCCCCAGGGAGAGCATTCATCCATTCATGAGGGATCCGCCCCCATGACTCAATCAGTTTCCAGCAGTGCCACATTGGGGATCAGATTTCCACATGAGTTTTGGAGGGGACAGCACATCCAAACTCCATCATATGTGATGTGAGGTATGGGTTTGTATTCATTTCCTGGGGCTACTGTACCACAAACTGGGTGGCTTACAACAAGACAAGTTTATTCTCTCACAGTTCTGGAGGTGGAAGTCTGAAGTCAAGGTGTCAGCAGGGCCATGCTCCCTCTGAAGCTCTCCTTGCCACTTGGTTGCAGGTGTTCCTGTGGCTGCGCAGCTCCAGCCTTGCCTTCACATGGCCTTCTCCTCCATGTCTTCTCTTCCGTCTCTTATAAGGACACTTGTCACTGGATTTAGGGCCCACCTGGATAACCCATGGTGATCTCATCTCCACATCCGTAACTTAATTACATCTGCAAAGACTCTTTTCCCACATTTTCTGGTGGTTACAACCATTTCTGGGGCCATATTATTTTACCCACCTGGATAACCCATGGTGATCTCATCTCCACATCCGTAACTTAATTACATTTGCAAAGACTCTTTTCCCACATTTTCTGGTGGTTACAACCATTTCTGGGGCCATATTATTTTAGGAGCCACCATCCAATCCACTATGAGGTCTACCATCCCATTGTCCAAAACATTTATCAATTTTATGTTAAATTTTAATTTAATGTTATCGATCATGTACTATGTGTTCACCTGTACATGGCTCCAAGTTTGTTCAGTTGATGCCCTTGCGTCAGTGTTACACTATTTTACATTTCTTTATAATGAGTTTGATATTTGGGAGTGCTTTGCTTTTTTATTTCCTCTCCCTTATTTCTGTCTTGTAAGCAGAGCTCTTGACAATGTTCTGTTGCCCTGGGATGACTCTTCTGCTTTGGGCCATATGACCTCTTCCCAGGGTCCCACTGTATGAGGTGCGGAGTGGGCCACAGAACTTTGTGGTCACAGTGACGTGGGTTTGAATCTCAGTGCCACTGCTTCACGCTGGGTGACCTCAGCAAGCCACGGACACTCTCAGAGCTTGGGTTGCTCAATGCCAGCCACCAATGCCTACAGTGAAGGCTTTTGTGAAGATCACATGAAAAGGGAGACGATACAAAAAGCACCTCAAGTGCTGCTGGCACAAGCTAAGTGCTGTGTACTTGGTGACTGTCACTATTAGCTGTGCTTCGTGTATTTCATCAGCATCCTATTGGCTGGGGACAAGGATGGGAGAAATTCTTACTTTTTCCCACTGTGTACCCTTAAGAACCTTTTGGTGTTTTAAAAATTGTGGTAAGACGTACATAACATGAAATTTGTCATCTTAACCATTTTCAGGTGTACAGTTCAATAGTGTTAAGTACATTCACCTTGTTGTGCAGCCGTCACCACCATCCATCTCCAGAACCCTTTTCATCTTGCAAAACTAAAACTCTGTACATATTAAACACTAACTCCTTGTTCTGTCCTTCCCCCAGCCTCTGTGACCCCATTCACTTTTCTGAGTCTGTGAATTTGACTAAGTGTCTTATATGAGTGGATCATACAGTATTTGTCCTTTTGTGACTGGCTTATTTCATTTAGCATAATGTTCTCAAGTTTCACCCATGTTGTAGCATGTGCCTGACTCTCCTTCCTTTTTAAAGCTGATTAATATTCCATCATATGTATATACCACATCATATGCATATCCATTGACGGATACTTGGGAGTACCTTTTGATTTTTGAACCATGTGTGTATCTGGACTCTCTGTTATTAGTTTGTAAAGTTTGTTTTGCAGCGTGTAACAGCTTTGATGCCCTGCATTCTCTCGCCTTCCTTTGTCAGGCTGCACTTACCAGTGGGCTACCACGGCCGTGCTTCCTCCGTTGTGGTGTCTGGAACCCCGATCCGAAGGCCCATGGGACAGATGAGACCTGATGACTGTAAGTGACCCCAGTGTCCAGGCCTTGCCGGTGCCCAGCTCTCTGTTGCCTCGCAGTGAGTTCTGCAGCCTGGCACTCACAACGGCCTCTCGTTTCTGGTGTTATTCCAGCAAAGCCTCCTGTATATGGTGCCTGCAAACTCTTGGACATGGAGTTGGAAATGGTAAGCTGTGACTTGCTTTTTTATTGACACTGGATCAATGTAAACCCTGTGGTGGGACAGCTCTGGGATGGCTGCCCTATACAACGAGCTGTTCATCTTTTGCCAGCCGTGTGCATGGCAGCTCTGTGTCCCCACCTGGCCATTGAAAGTACAGTCAATCCTCATTGTTCACAGATTCCGTATTTGCAAATATGCCTACTTGCTAAAATTGACTTGTAACCCTAAAATTAATACTCACGAACTTGCATTGTCATTCATGGGCATCTGCAGAGTAGTGAAAACTGTGGGTTGCTTGATGAACACGTTCCCAGCTGAGGTGGAGCAAAGTGACACCTACCTTCCTGTTTCAGCTCATACTGTGAACACGTGGCCTTTTTGTGGTCTGTTTAGTGCCATATTTTTGCATTTTTGTGCTTTTGTCTGGTGATTTTGCTCTTTACAGCAGCCCCCAAGTGCAGTGCCAAGGTGCTATCTAGTGTTCCTAAGTGCAAGAGAGCTGTGATGTGACTTGTGGAGAAAATACATGTGTTAAATGAGCTTTGTTCAGGCATGAGTTATAGCGCTCTCGGTCATGAGTTCAATGTTAATGATTCAATAATGTGTATTAAATAAGTTGTCTTTAAACAGAAACACACATAAAACAGGGTTATGTAGTTATGTATTGACCAGTTGATGAAAATGTGACGAGAGGCTTGTAAGAACCTAACTCTGTATTTCCTCTAGGAGCAATGAATTTTCAGTTTTTACTAATGCGGTGTTTGTAGCATCTTTATAGAACATAACTACCACGAGTAACAAGAATGGACTGTGCGAGCCCTATTGTACTTGTGGCTGGGTCAGAACTGTAGTCATTTTAGGGCTGTGTGTTTTTTGAAACTAAAATTTTCAAGTTAAGATCATTGTAGACTCAGACGCAGTTGTAAGAAATAATACAGAGGGATCCTGAATACCCTCCATGCAGTCTCCCCCAGTGGTAACATCCTGCATATCCACAGTGCAATATCACAACCATGATATTGACATTGATATGGCCCATGGCCCTACCCCAAGGATCCCTCATGCTGCAGGGCTGCCCGTTTTAAGAGGGACGCTGAACTCTGAGCAGCTCCCAAGGTGAGGGGACCAGGAAAGTGATTGGAAGAAGGAGCTGACCTGGAAGAAGGAGGGCTCTGGGGACGTGGGCAGTATGGTGTCTTCAGCTTCTGCTGGGTTGTCAGATGACCGATGGTAGAGCCAGGCCCAGTGTGGGGAATGCAGGCTAGCAGATGGAGGGGGCTTTCCCACAGTCAGCGCCCTTGGTCTTAGGAGGTGGTGCCTCAGGAGCTGTGAGTATCTCGTCACTGCAGGTGTAGGAGGAGGGCTGTGGGGCTACGCAGTGGGGCTGTGGCAGTGGGAATCCAGGCTTGGTCAGAGGCAGGATGCAGACCCAGTCAGCTTTGCTGGACTCCCTGTTCCTCCTGTGCTGCCTTGTAGTTTCTTTGGATTTAGTCCAGAGGAGGGAAATGGGTGAACACTGCTGAATATTCCCCAAGTAGCAGGGCACGCCCCACCAGCCCCCTGCCTTTCACTGCCTTCGTGATGGTGGCACATGAGACCCTGGGAGGAGGCCTCCTACCAAGACTCATCAGAGCAGGGCATCTGCGCCCTGGTTTGGGGCTGGGGTCTTCTCTGGGAGAATGAAGGGCTCTACGGTTAGATGCTTCCCTTGCACTGGTCCCTGTTGGGGGAACAGGGAGAAAGTCAGTGTGGAGAAATGGTCGGGGACAGATGGCACAGATGATCTGGGCTTAAAGGTGGTGGGATTCTCCATAAGATGGTGCCCTTGGGGGTTTTGTTTTATCTTGAAAAATTTGCAATGTTTAAACACTGTCACAGAACAAATTAAACTATGACTCAAGTTTTGTGCATGTCATAGCTGATTCTATGAGACTTTCCCAGTTTTCCCGCGTATTGATATATGTGGATATTCTGTTGGTTCACAAACGTGATGTGGTGCTGCTGTCCTTCAGAGGTGGTGGGATGACAGATGGGGTTTTGGGGCAAGGGATTATGGTGTGGGATGTGCCCGTGAGGTGTTCTTTGCTGCATTGAGAAAGCATTTTGATTTTTCATGACATGAATACAAACGCTGATATTTTTATTTTTCACAAGCCTCATGTGGCTGTCAAGTCCTGAAATGCACAGCGTGGATGGGGTTCAGGGAAAAGAGCAGCCTGGCCTGGGATGTGCGTAAGGAAGGAGCCAGGCTGCTGTGGAGCTCAGCCTGTGAGGAGGGGCTTTGGCAGTCCCCAGCATGCTGCTGCAGGCCACATTCTGCTCAGATGCAGCTATGACTAAGAAATACAGTGGATTCATGCCAGGCCCCTGGGGCAGTCCTGGTCCCTGGCCACGGTTTGGAAATACCTGACCTTTGCTCTCTCAGCAACAAGTGACTGGGGGTGGCAGGTCAGGCCCAGATTCTAATCAAGCTTCCCCATCAGGCTTTCTTTGTAGGCCCGGGGAACAGATTCGGAGAGCCCATCCCCATCTCCAAGGCCCATGAGCACATTTTCGGAATGGTCCTTATGAACGACTGGAGTGGTAATGACTAGTGGGCAGTCCCACTGTGAGTGCTCTGGGTGGAGGTGCGTGGGAGGCTAGGTCTTGGGGACACTTTCACAGAAGCTGGGGATGGTTCCTGGGTTTGGTTTGGTCAAAGGCGGCAGGTGATGGAGCACTGAGAATGGGGATCTGGGTATCAAGCAGACTTCCCGCTCTGAGAACTTGTCCAGTCACTTAACCTCTCTGAGTTCCATTTTCTTGTAAGTTGAATAGGGACACAGCTGACATCATAGCTAAGATTCATGGAGCACTTATGTGTCTGGGCCCTGTGCTTCACACCCCACATGCACTCTCCCGCCGATCCCTACAAGTCATTGGTAATGATATTCCCATTTTACAGATGGTGAGCCAAGGCACAGTGAGATCTCAGTTAGTTGCTGAGCTAAGATTTGAAGCTGAGCAGCCCAGCTCTGCTGTGCCATGTATAGGAGTCCCAGCAAATGTCCCTCTCCTAGTTTGAGGATGAGCTTCCAGCCCTTTCCTGGGGGATATCCTGATCTTTGCTTTGGTCATCCTTCTCTTTGTTGTCACCTGGCACAGTGCCCTCAAAGGATCTCTGTCCTTGGCATTGGATGCTCTTGACCCTTGGTCCTGGAGCAGCCTGGTTGGGACCAGAGCTCTCTTGGTCATGTGCAGAAGGGAGGCTTGGGGTGAGGATCTGGTCAGTCTGTGTAAGCCCTGGGTCTCTTTCTCCTGTAGCTCGAGACATTCAGAAGTGGGAATATGTCCCTCTTGGGCCGTTCCTCGGGAAGAGTTTTGGAACCACCATCTCTCCATGGGTGGTGACCATGGATGCCCTCATGCCCTTTGCTGTGCCCAACCCAGATCAGGTAAGCACACCCTCAGCTGGAAGCTTCTGGCCCCAGTCCCAGCCCCTCTGCTCCAGAGCTGCTTGCCCGCTGAGCAGACACACCAGGGGTGGAGACAGGTGGAAGGGAAGCTCTGTGCCCACAGTGGAGTGCCCTGGGGATCCTGGTCACAGTGGCCTACAGGCAGCCATGGCTCCAGTCATTCTCCCTTGTGGTTTCCCTGCCCAGGCACAGTTCTTGGGGAGAACACAAAATGTTGTAAACTTCAGAATCCTCCGAAGCCAGGGGAACTGGCAGTTGGCAGGAGAGTGGGTCCTGGCTGCTACCAGTACATTGCCCCACATCCCAGGTCACCATCAAACTCTGTTATGTGCAAATGGCACCACCTGGAGTCCAACTCCTAGAATGCAGTTTGGAGCAGAGCAGCAAGGGGTCCGGGTGCCTCCTGTTCCCAGCACCACGGTCCCTGCCTCATCTCATGGTCTCACCCCTCACTGCTTGGCCTGTTACAGTCCAGCCGCTGCCTCACCCCATCACCAGCAGTGCCGCACCAGAGTCACCTGTGACCGGTGGCCAGTGCCATGGCCTTGTGCCCCTTCAGCGTGGACCTCCTTGCAGCTCCTCACTTTTTCTAGGTGTTCTCTTGCCTCTTGGCTTCTGGCAGGTGACCTGCCCTGGTTCTCCTGCATCTCTGAGTCCCACTCCAACTCAGTCCTCTCCTCGGGGCAGCCCAAGCTGCTCTCCCAGGCCTTGCCCCTCTCCCTCCACACCCTCTCTTGAGTGTGCCACCTCACTCATGGCTGCTGCACCCAGGGACTCCCCAAGCTCCTCTGCCTCTCATAGCCCTGGTGTCATCTCATCTCTGCTGTGCTAAAAACACACTTGGGGTCCTTCACTGCAAACTAGGTCCCTATGAAGCTCCTGTGGGGCTCTCACGCTGTCCCCTTCTCTCTCCACTACTCCTGCTACAGCCACCCTCCCGCATCATCTTCAGACACCAAAACTTGTCTCTTCCTCCCTCTCTCGGTGTGTCCTGCACGTCACCCTGACCCCCTGGGCCTCAGCCTCACACTGCTCGCCCCTCCAATCTCCATCCTTCGTCCAGGTCCATCTTCACAGGGCACCACTCAGTTCTTGCCAGAGGTGTCTGAGCTCTGTCTTCCCCATGCCAGTTCTTCCCAAATACCACTTATGTACGACTATCTTAACGCCTGCCCCACCTGAACTGTGATTTATTTAATGTTTTTCTCTAAAGCAGCTCCCAGTTTAGAACTTAAATAATGTACATGTAAATAATGTAAAAATTAAATAATATATAATCCATGGGTTCTGTGGATTCAACCAAGTGTGGATTGAAAATATTCAGAAAAAAAAATTGTCTCTGTACGGAATGTGTACGGACTTTTTTTCTTGCCATTATTCCCTCAATAATACAGTGCAACAACCGTTTACATAGTGTTTACCTTGTACTAGGTATCATAAGTAATCTAGAGATGATTTCGAGTAGTCAGGAGGATATGTTTAGGTTATATGCAAATACTACACCATTTTATATCAGGAACTTGAGCATCCATGGATTTTGGTATCCGTGAGAGGTCCTGGAATCAATCCCCCATGGATACCAAGGAAGAACTGGATTGAGAAAAGGAACTTCCTATTCCTACCAGCATCACTGTTTGCCATAAAAAGAAACACATCACTATTAAAATCACCAAAAATGATCTCATGGTCCATGAGTTGTTATATGCATCACACTTTGGGAAAACACTGCTTTTGGCCAAAGTGCAGACTTTCTGTCCTGGTCATCAGTGTCACCTTCCCAGTGGGCTCCAGCACCAGACAGGCTGTCTGCCTCTGTGGGCTGCCTGGACCCTCTGCTTTCTAGGGGACCTGTCTTGCCCTTTCAGTTACCCCAGCCTTCCCTGACAGCCTCCCCTCACTTTCTTGCCCATCTCTGGCACCCCACTGCCCACCTGCAGCCCTCCCCTCCGTTGGCTTTCTGGGACTGTTACACCTCTTTTCCCTGTGTAACAGATACGAAGAAAAGAGTTACGGGAATACTCAAGCACTATGTATGCACTGAGGCCCAGACAGATTGCACTTCAGTCATTTCTCCATTAGGAGGAGCAAAACTGAATGTGGCAGCTGCTTCCAAAGTTAGCCTCTCCCTTTTATTGTAAAAACAAGGAAATTTTACAAGAAAA